TATATTCCCGGGAAAACACAGAATGAATCACACAAACGACGCTATTGGAAATCTAAGGACAGCCTCGTCCGGTAGATCATCAAGAGGGCTGTTCCAGGCGACCATGGATCGTGATCTGTGGAGACGCATGAGCGCCTTCGCCAGTTGGCTGGGCACATGATAATGATGTTTATAATGCAGCCCCAGCAGCTATCAACGCCTACCAAAAAAAAAATTGACCTATGGTATTAAAGTCATTCTATATCGATGGGGAATGATAATAGCTAGTGTTACCCATCGAGCACTGAAGTGTGAATAGAGGATGCATGAGTGAATCAAGAATTGACATCACTGTACTCGGACATTCCTGTGCGTGCTCCGCCCCATTCCTCGGTAACCAACAAGAAGTCCCCATACTGGTGCTGGATGTTGCAACTTGATAACGTCGCAACCCTGTCTCTTGTTTCTTGTTCTTAAAATTTGCTTATCTCAGTATTTTTGGACTCATTGTGAATCTGAATTCTGCGCTGGCTGCCGAGGATGACGACGAAGCGCGTATGGGATTGTCTGAGTGCTATGATGTCGGTTTTCGACTCAGTTCACCTCTACCCAACTCGTTCTTTCAACCATCTCACTACCCACCAACGTTGGACGGGAGCACTCGTGCTAGACACGGAAACATATATGATCGAATGTTGATAGAAGTCACGATGTTAGATGAAATAACATGTGTAAGGATGTGTGATCCTGGAATAAGGAGTGGATCCCACAAGGAGGGACGGGTGAGAGGAAGAGAACGACGTGTGTATAATCAGTGTGCTATAGGAACAGTTGTTTGTTTTGTTTTAGTATCTAGAAGCCATGAGTTGTTAACCCTTAGGCTCGGTATTATGGATATCGCAACCTTTCGGTCTTGATTCCATTGTAAATACCGTAAATCTGGGAGAAATGTGGCTTTCCTGCCTACCCCCGGGATTGAACCCGGACCACAAGGAGTTCGTCACCCGGTCTCCGCACAATCCAGTTTAGCCAACTACGCTAGAGAGCCGAGCATACAGAAACGGTTCGCATCTACATCTTAAGACATTTGCTGCGGGAGACAAAGCATCTATGGGTATTCCCAGTGTACTGTGATGTCGATTCTTAAACGAGTAAATCATCAATACTGGATTACAAGTCACTTCGTAACCGCTTTGTGGTACCCCAATACACTTGTGTAGCCTACAGAAATGGCTCAACGGTTGAACGGGGTTTTCGAGATTTGTACCCATTTTACTTTCATTCTTGAAAAGTTCATCTTACAGACTGCGATCTTCGAGGGGAAAAAGCGGGGGAGGAAAGGGGGAGAGGTGGTATAAGGAATATCATTCTCTCTAGATATGGAGGCTTGATGATAATGATGAACTGATCCATGATTCTGTGGCAACTACGATCCCCTACCTGCTCACTGGAAGGTCGTGGGTTTAGGTTCAGACGGAGCTGGGCTTCTTTTAACCTTGAATGGGTACCAGATACAGTCCTGGGAAGTAAAGACGGCTGGTATGATGTTAACAACATCACCCACCGAGACTATAAAATAAGGTCTAGCCCTATATGCCCAGGTACGCCTAAGTAGTGGAAAAGGGTCCTCATTACTGATCCATGATTTCATGACCCACTTGCAGAATGACCACCAAACCTACCCGCCGACACAGAAGAGCACGTCCGACTTCAGGCAGATGGCAGAAGTCACAGCTGACTGATACTGATACTGTCTGAGATAGCGATCGGTCTGTCTGTGCTTTTCTCCGACAAGATGTGGACTGTTGCTGCTCGTATTCCAACTCTTGGAATATCTCATAAATGGGGACAGCCGTAACCTGCAATTGTTTTGTTTACTACTATTATTCAGAGGGTAAATATTTGCCTAGAAGATCAAGATATTCCGGCTCTACTTTCAAATTTGGCCGGTAAGCTGGACTTCTTCGTCGGCTTAGTGGGAGTTATGTCCCGTGGCCGCACTCAAAACAACGAGCGGAAAAAGTCACGAATCAAATGACATACGGTTGCGTCTAGGGTTACCTATCATCCTACGGTTGCGTGTAGGGCTGCGTAGGGTGTCTATCATCGTCCTACGGTTGCGTGTAGGGCTGCTTATTGCGTGTAGGTTGGTTGTTTGCGTAAGATGAGGGGTAGGGTTAGGGGTATGGTTAGATGTGAAAATTTTCACATAGGAGGTCGAAATAGTGGCCGACAATCTGATGCTTGTGGGAGTGGCGCCACTGGAAGTGTGCCAAATATGACGGCAATAGCGCGCGGCTGGTGCCCAATCGGTGGCGAATTGTCCGTGTCAGTAGCATCCACCGTCCGTCGACTGTTTGCAACTGTGCGCGATTATAGGGAACTATGGCGTCACAATTGTCACATCTAACGCTACACCTAACCCTAACCCTACCCCTAAACCCTAACCCTACCCCTAAACCCTAACCCTAACCCTAAACCCTAACCCTAACCCTACCCCTCATCTTACGCAAACAACCAACCTACACGCAATAAGCAGCCCTACACGCAACCGTAGGACGATGATGGACACCCTACGCACCCGGATGATGATAGGTAAGTATGCCATTTGATTCGTGACTTTTTCCGCGACTTGTTTAAGTTGTATTGAGTGCGGCCATGGGACATAACTCCCACTAAGCCCCGCTAAGCCGGCCGAAGCAGTCCAGCTTACCGGCCAAATTTGAAAGTAGAGCTGATATTCCTGACATGATGTCTGATTCGTAGTGATTAGTGCTACTTCAATTAGTGGCCGACACATCCAACAAAAACAAACATTGCATTCCATTTCATCACTCTGCCAACCAAGGTTGGAATTAATCATTAACTCTTTCAGGCACATGTGAATTTTGACAGACTTGGCTCCAATTAATTTTCCCTTACATGGCAGAGGAAGTGGTGTAAAAAAAAAAAAAAAAAGGCAATTGAGAAGAAGGTAGCTCGGCTCTCCTCTGAACTTTATCCCCATATTATTGCGGCCCAAAAAAACCCTAACAGGGCATCATTTGTGTGTAAAATGCAGAGTACCTGTCGAGAAACAAATGGCAGCAAAACTAGGATTGCCTGCGAATAACGGGCCAATATTATCGAGGGCAAACAAATACTCTAACAGGGTCTCAGGGATATGTTTATTGCGGACCTGTTTCTGCGACTATGCCGCACCGCCGACAGCATACCCCACACCGCTATGTGCGGCACAGATGGGGAGCTAAACTAGATGGCTGGGATTCACGAGCAAATAAATTGGAGGAAGTTGCAGGAGATGCTGTAGCTGCTACGTGGGGGATATGCTTGGCGGTGAGATTAATCAGAAGAACACTCACTAACCTGCGCCAGAGCGCGTGGTCTCTCCGCCATTGCGCTATTATCATGTGTATTGTTGCGTTTCTTTAAAAAAAACAAAAATGTTACCCCCAAAAAAATCATCCTTACTTATCGTTTTGTTTGCAGCCACAAGAGCAGTGAATATCCAAACTTGAGAATAAAACTTCAAAGTTTGTTCAGTTTCCTAACAAATTCAAAAGTTATGACACATTTCTGGGTAATTTTATCACTTAGAGGCTCTATGTTCTCATAGAGTGCTGAACAAAATTTCAAAGAAAAATGGCAGAAAATTTGACGTATAGTCCTATACACACAAAATATTAACATTATAGTTACATACAGACTGTAGCTGCAATGATTTCAATGCAGCTTAGACATAGTATGAGTATAGTACTGTCTGAAACAGTCCTTTTGATGCAGATGGGGGTGACTAGGCATCATTCGTAAATAAAATGCGGCCTTCTGGATATACCTCGTCAGAACAAACAGCTGACCACTCAGCTACCACTGGTGTAAATCTACCATCTGAATCACTTTCCGAAAAATTAAAAAATTTCTTTATTAGAAAACATCTGACTGAAACAATTTCAGAGCTTCAGCCATAGAAAGACACATTTTTCGGCCTGTGATTGTATTCGGAACACTGATAACCATGGATACTTGAACACAAAATCACAAATGCAGTGTCTAAAAATCACACTAGCTATGGATCGAACCAGTTTGCCCCCACATGTGTATGAACATAAACTTTTGTTTTTCATAGAAAAACATTAGAGTAACCTTCGCTGAGTACTTTAATGGTAGTCCCAAACAGAAATATACGGAGCCGTATGCGAATCAGTATATATGGGACACGTGATCGACGCATACTATGTTCTTTGGGCAAATCAGAACTTTCCAATCAGCACACACAGCATTGCTCAGGCTTTAAAGAGTTAATGCAGTTTCTCAGTTTTTTAGATTTAGATTTTAGGGCTGCCCCTACCAGCAGATTTGAAATCTTTCAGGTTTTAAGAGTTGTCCTTTGTTGTTTACAGGTATTTTCTCCAAGTTTTCATGTTTTTACTGCTGCACTTTAACCTTATGCATTGCACAGTAAAATACTGGCTGGTGTACATATTGGTGTGTGGGGAATTATAAGAAGCAGTACTTAGTTGTAGAAGACAAAGTTCAAGTATTTCTTATTCATCTTCGCGTACACCAGCTAAACTCTGGCGGAAAGTTCTGGTTGTTCATCCACTTCTGGACTGCAGTCCTGTTCCAGAACCTGAATGTTGTGCGTGCATCAGTTTTACAGATCTGACTCATTTGTATGCAGACTGCCGGTTCCTTGCCTCTCAGGCAGAGGCACTCTGACTTTGAACGAAGCTCACAATTAGTCAACTCTTACGACATGCTTTTGGGTAGGCAGTGGGTCTATTCTTGTTTTCCCTATAACAGGGCACCGGAGCCTACATTGGGAGTTTTAAGTATTTATGTTAGTAATATCCTGTTCAAACTTCCTAGGTTATATATGAGATATAAGCTATTGTTTTGTTTTTGTTTGTTTTTTAAAATATTTTTTCTAAGTTATACTTTTGCATTTTCATTTTGTTTACAATTGAAAATAAATTTTAATTACAGCAAATATTTAGTGATAGGTGGGAACAGCACCTGCTATGGCATCCATGAATGGTGATGGAAGCAACCATGCGATCCAGAACACAGCCGTGCTCATGCACCAGTCATCTTTGTCATTAAAAGGGCCTGATGTGGCCAAAGTGCTAGTTGTCTACACAGGGGGAACGATTGGCATGGTCCCTCAAGAGGGAGGTGAGTTCTGATTGATTTCTTTTGAACTGTTTATGGGCTATAAATTCCGGCGGAAAGTTGTTTGTCTACTTCTGGACTTTTGGTCCTTTCCAGAACTGCTGTCTGTGCCTTTTGGCCCAACACCTAATTTCAGTAAACTCCTAATAAGGCAGTCACTGTGGTGTAGTGGCTATATGCTCGCCTACGGATAGGAAGGTCATGGGTTCGGGTTCTGTTGGAACCAGAGAAAATTGAAATATATATAGTAATTTTTGTTGTTGTTGTTGTTGGTGTGCGCGCATATTTTTGTTGAGGCACAGATGGACGGTTAAGAACATTGGGACTGTCATTCAGGAGACAGGTTTGAATCCTCAGTACGGTGGATTGTTTCTGTCGTGGGCACACACATCCTGACCTGTAAAGTCTGTGTTGACAGCACTATCCATGTGGCTCTAAACAGTCTCAAGGACCTCTTGCCTACACAGCAAACCTGGTACACACAGGAAGGATAGTTTTTATTGTTTGTCTTCTTTGTTCAGATTTACAGTGGGGCATCAATGCTTAGATCTTCTAAACTTTTACTGTATTTGTGCTCACAGTGTACACACCTAAAGCCAACTGCCTGGTGGAGAAGTTGAAGGAGATGCCAATCTTCCATTGTAAGAACACAGACCTGGTTCTCACTCTAGAGCTGGAGGACTTCCTTATCTTGCAGTAAGTGCTCAGTTATCATGTTGTTTTTTTAAGCTGACTAGTTCTGCCACTTTTGTGGGTTGATTTTTTTTCAGTTCTGTTTAGTTTACTTGACTGCGTCTATGGCTTAAGGGTTATGAACATAGCTGTTTTAACAGTATTATGGGCCCCTCAGCAAACTAGTGTGCTAGGGCCCCGTACGACAACCATTCACAGGAATAAAACTGCTATTTATAGTAAGTCACTTGTCATTCACAGATTAGGATTAGGCCCCAGCAAGGGCCCAGCGGGCTCATGCATAAAGACGGTACTGGTGACAAAGGCAGTTTATAATTCCAAAATGCGCTGTTCAAATCAGTAGCAAGCATTTTGGCAGCAGACTGCTTTGTGCTGGTTTCAACAATAGTATGGATAAACTGCCTTTCAGAAAGCCATGGCAGACTACTGAAATAAAATTTGCTTAGCAAAGCCACAATCAGACATTGCCACATTCTGTAACAATTAACTGGTTCTTTTGTGTTTTAAAATGTTTAAAATATTTTAAACAAATTTAGTTTACATTGGCTTTGTTTTGAAAATGGTCGTCAGTAACCCTGAATACCGCTAACTTTAAAAAAAATATATGACTGGGTTACCACATAATTTTAGCCATTTAGTTCAAATAGCCGCACTTCGAAGATGGTATTTTTTTTTTGCACTTTGTTTTGCACTTTTTTTTTTAAGGTTTAACATTTAAAAAAAACTGAATGCACATCTGAATTTAAGTTCTAATGTAAACTCTTTAAGTCGCAAGGAACACATAATATGTTTATAGGTTTCTACCCAGAAGCCAAATAAATGCATGAAGCACGGATTGTATGTCTCTCTTGACTACCCCTTGGGCCTGTAATGCTAAACCATGTGAGACTCAATGAGTTAATTTGAATGCTGCATATGCTTTCTTTTTTTTTTTCAAATCTACTCACTGAATTGATTGATTCATGTTTTAACATAATTGATCATAATTGTGAAACAAAGAAAGCATGGTGAAGAGGTGCTAACATTAAAATATCAACTTTGCTTTTAATGCACTTTTTGTACTTTACATTCATGCTAAAAATGTTGATATATGAACATAATTTGTTTGATATATAACATATACTTGCCAGGTGAGGGATGAGTTTTTGATAGGGCCGAATGTAAAACAGGCTTGCGTGCCCAATTTGTAATCCTTTGTTATATATTTATGTTTTTGAAGTAAGTAGTTAAAGATTCTTTATGCCATTAGCACATTAAGTATATGATGCTAGGCTCATACTTTTATAGACCATCTGTATTCAGTGAGTGATGTGGTTAACATCATGCCGACCACCTTTACTTCCCAGGGCAAACCTGGTACCTATTGTAAACTAGGTTTACCAATGTCAGTTTTGACAAAAATTCTGCCTCGATTTGAACCCTATACTTGTGGGTTATTAGGCAAGCGCCTAGCTACTCTGCTGCCATGGCTTTCATGGAGTGGTTTGAAAGATAAAAATATTTATGCTTGTTCATTAGTAAAGCAGTATGGAGGAATCGGCACTGCATTCAATCTGTTTTAGGATCTACTTCTTCTTCTTAAAGTCCATGCCGTGGGGTATTGGTAGTCGTGTCTGTCCACAGCCTTCTGTCTTGGGTACTTTCAGTCAACTATGACACAGACAATCCTCCATGTCATGATGTCGGACTGTCTAGCATCTTTTCTCTCAGTCTCCCTCTCCCTCTCCTCCCCTCCAACTTTCCTACTGTCGCAATGTGCTCCAGTTTTCTCCCTTTCATAGCATGACCAAAGAATGTAGATTTTTTGTTAGGATAAAGGGCAGGGAAACAACAAGAAGGCTCATGCTTTGATTGGTTACTGTAGACATTAATAGGTTATACTGAACATCACATATCAGTGTGCTAAACCAAAACATCACATATCAGTGTGCTAAACCAAAACATCACATATCAGTGTGCTAAACCAAAACATCACGTATCAGTGTGTTAAACCAAAACATCACATATCAGTGTGCTAAACCAAAACATCACATATCAGTGTGCTAAACCAAAACATCGCGTATCAGTGTGCTAAATCAAAACATTACATATCAGTGCTAAATCAAAAGATCGCGTATCAGTGTGCTAAATCAAAACATTACATATCAGTGTGCTAAATCAAAAGATCGCGTATCAGTGTGCTAAATCAAAACATCACAGTCTTGGTCAGACTAATCAACATGATCATCACACAGTCATATTTCTCAGCAGTAACAGAGTCAATTTGGCCCAAAAAATTATTCTTTTTCTTCATTTTCACCGGCTGTAAACTCCAGCCGAAAGTTCTGGTTGTTCGTCCACCTCTGGACTTTAGTCTTGTTCCAGAATCTGAGTGTTGCGTGCACATCCATTTCACAGATCTGACTTTTTTGTATGCAGACTGTTGGCTCCTTTCCTGTCAGGCAGATGTACTCTGACTTTGAAGGAAGCTCCAAGCTGACATGCTTGCTGGGGAGGCAGTGGGTCTATTCTTGTTTCCCCCACAAAAGGGCCCCAAAACCCACACAGGGAAACAGAATTAACATTTTTATTTTGATTAAAAGAGAATTCATATTCTAAATTGAACTTTTGCTCCACTGACATGAAGAGACAAGCCCAAGTTTCAAGATTTTACTTCTTGGAGGTAAACAGCATGCAGTCTCAAACTGTCAGTTCTGAATTTACTGAATCTTTAAGCAAATCAACACAGATAACAAACTTGTACATCTTTTAGCAATTTCTTTGCTGGATTACTATGTCCTAACTACTTTTTGCATGAATATTGTTATCTTGTTTTATTAGGTGATACTAATAATCAGTTTTGTATTTTCATTTGTTGTTTTAATCATCATCATCCCCCCCCCCCCCCCCCCCCCCCCCCCCGCCCTCCCAAATAGGGGAACCAACACGGGGAGAAGGTGGATTGTGGTTTTCATCAGCTGCATTTCACTGACTTTTGTCATCATTATCATCATGTGTGAAGTTGGTTGTTGTGGACGATTTCTAGATTGTCATTGATATTGTTTCCAGCTATTGATAACGGTTGTTGGGCTATTCAAAAAACTTTTGCATGTCTGTGAACTCTTGATTATTAGTTTGTCTTGTTTAACTCTACTGTTGTGTTAACTCTTTCTTAGTGTGGTAACTAACTCTCATCAACTAACTGCTGCATGTATACAGCAGTAAAAATACTTATGTTCAAGGAGATGTAAAAATTGTATGTGACTATATGTGTGACTTCATTCACGTGCATGTGATGTGTGAATGGATGTATGTGGTGCATACATGTGTTTGTGTATGTGTATACATGTGTGTGCATACATTTTGATATGGTATTCATAAGGTTGTATGCGTGTGGGAATTCAAATGTGAAAGTACGATCATGAATGTGTCCTTGAAATAATCTGAGTGCTTGAATATGTGTTTGGAAGGATGATAGAGTACACAGTGGTGTGTCTATGGGTGTGTAGATACATATTTGGCTGTGTTTGTGTTCATGTATTTGGGAATTACCCATAGGATCACATGTGAGCTAACACGTTACAGAATGGAGGGTGGTATTATATTATACAGCTTAGTCATAGTGATGTTAAAGAAATTCCACATAGTAATCTTCTACTCTTCTTAACATACATTGGCTGTTAACTTCGACAGAAAGTCATATCTGTTCATCCACTTTGACTTTCTTCCAGACCTTGAGTTTTGCATGCATGTCAATTTTACAGATCTGGTTTATTTGTATGCAGACTGTTGGAAGGAAACAACCCTAAATAGTCACCTTTTGAGACTACTTTTGGGGGGAGGGGTGGTCTGTCTATTCTCCCCCCCCCCTACCCCCCGAGCCCCCGTGGTGCTCTGGAACATACACAGAGAAGAGGTAATGATTTGTGTTTGGTAGTTAAACCAGAATACAGACAAATAGCAAGTTGAGTTGAGCTGAGTCAAGAATTGACATCACAGCACTCGGGGTATTCCTATGTGTGCTCCATCCTCATCTTCAGCAGCCAGCGCAGAGTTCCAATACTAATGGCACCGGTCACAATCTAGTTATATGTCCGTCTTGCCTTTCCTCTGAGTGTAGTGAGCCGGCCAGACTCTCTGGTTACACCCAGGTGCCTCATTCTCTACAGGCCATAATAATCTTGGTTCTCTACTGATTCCGTTGCTTGTTCCCAAAGGGCCTTGACCACATCTGCCTTGTCATGTATTAGTTCACCACCCAGTGGTGCAGATCCAGCCAATCTGTCTGCCTGCCTGGAGGAAAGATCTAAAGTATGCTCTGTGACCTTCCCAGTGAAGCTTGCCACTCTGCTCGAAGCATCCCTGTCTTCCTTTTTCTCAGCATGCTTTCAGTTACAATTACGACATGTGTATGCATCTTGTTCTCCAGCCATCAGAGAGCTGCCTCCACCTCCATTCTCATGTAGATGTTGTGTCGTATGCTAGGCTGTCACACTCACGCACTCTCTCAGTCTCTCTCTCTCTCACTCTCTCTTATACACAACACCCAGTTACAAATACCAACACACAGACATTTGCGTGTACATTCTTCCTAATTATTTTTTCACAGACCATCAGCCAAAGACCGTCGACATGTCATATACAAAATAGTGGAGTTTGATCCTCTTCTAGACTCGTCAAACATGGTCATCGCTGACTGGATCAAGATCGCCACCTGCATTAAAGTCTGTTGACTTTCATTATTCTTTTCTTAATGTGTGATTATCGGCATTATACAGTTGATACTATATGTCCAATCAACCCATTTAGATTGAACAGGATGCCTGTTAATGTTTTTGCCCACCAAATCTTTAAACCAAAAAATGGGTCAGCTACACATGTACATTTCTGGAAAAATCCTTTTTTTTAAAAACAGAAACTGGGAAGAATATTAAAGGAAGATAACAAGAGCACATATTTGGCTCAGGTTAGTTCCATCACTAATTTCTAACTTCTAACCCATCTGGGACATTCAAGAACTTCAAGTCAGACAGCGTGAAGTCAGATAAACACTGGGCAAAGGGCCAGAGAAAAAAATGTGTAAACAAGCACAGCTCTGGTTTTATTAACCACTATATATAATACCATGTAGTAGGACTTTACAGAATGCCCTCTTACCACAGTCTGCCTAAATGAAACTCGGTCCCTTCCAAGCTGTGTCACCTCCTGCCCAAGATGTCTGTTCTGTCCTTTGCATATTCTTGCTGGGCAACCAGGGACACTCTCACCCAGTACAATGGCCTCCACCACTGCTCTGTTCAATCCTTTGTGGCACTTGATATGGTCAAATGTTTCAGTTTTTCCTAGATGAGATGCTGTTTACTAGCCAATCTTCCTTGATTCTCACATCTTTTGGGATGTCAGTATTTCTTTTCTTCTTGGTGCTTGATTTTCTGAGATCTTTCTGTAGCTTTTCGGCTCAGAAGCCCCTGTTGTGAGACAATCCACGACTCACATCTATATGTTACTACAGGAAAGTTAAATGCTTTTAATATTCTAAATTTGGTTAACTACTACAAACAGAATAGTATATTGAATAGGGGCTTATGGGCGTTTTTGTTCAGTGTGTACCGAGGAGGGTCTTTTGGCTACCCTGGAACTGATGCAGATATGATCCGCTTTGGCGATAATGGACTCACCGTATGGGCTTATGGACTGTATTTTAGGGCCAAAAAATAAAAGACCCTCTGCTCCCTAAAGACTGCCATAAGAGTTGACTAATTAGACTTTTACTAAAATTGGCTGTGTTAGGCAGAAAGGTGCATTCATCGCAGCCCAACTGTAAAAACACATCACAATAACCCAACCACCTTTTTATGGGTGAGTGCAGTAATGGACAAAACTATTGTTGTCAATTATAGTTTACTTTTTTCAACACTAGAATCATCAGTATTACAGCAGTTAAACGGGATCTCTCCCAGGACAACGATGGTTTTGTGGTCCTCCATAGCAGAAGAAGAAGGCAATAATAAACAGACATTACAGTTGTTAGAAGTTTGACGACATCCATATGCCACTTCCTTATAGTTAAACCTGTGTGAATACTAGAATCATCAGTATTATAACAGATAAACATGATCGTTCCCAGGATAACTACCAGGACTACGATGGATTTGTGGTGCTCCATGGCACCGACACCATGGCCTACTCTGCCTCGGCTCTCTCCTTCATGTGTGAACACCTGGGCAAGCCCATTATTCTCACTGGCTCACAGGTAAGTGTTGGCTTCACCGACTAACAGTTACCTGGTTGTTCAGTCGAGTACGGTTTATCAAGTTAAGACTAGAATTGGTTCAACTCGGAAACTCCTTGACTCTTTCCCTTCTCCTGTGTTATCATGTCCACAGAATTTGGTATTCACTTTTAGGTCTCCCAGGTTGATTTCTTAACTCCAATTCTACAATACATCTTTCTTTTCTTTTTTTTTTTAAAACTGCATCGCCCAGCTACTGAGTTGAGTGCATGACACAACACTGTGAGCTGCGGATTTCATTTGGTATGCTTTTTGACTGTGCCCAACATGATTTGTGTTGTGAAATGCAGATTATGAAAATGGCAATTGGCCTGTTGCCAGAGAAATAGTGGTTCCTTTTGTGACTACTTATCTATTGTAACTGCTACTTGCATCAATGATTAACTACATTTCTGGTGTTGGTCTGTTTGTGTTGGTTATTTCTGATGACTGCCTTATTCATTTAGTGCGTGTGTCTGCTATTGGCTTTGTTGAGAATGCAGTCTGTGTCAGTTTTTCACAAGGGATAGAGATGGACGTTTTGTGTTGTTTTCATTGGCACAGGAAGCGGAAAAACAATGGTGTGACATTTGCTCTGAAATTGAAACTGTGAATACCTGATAGTAAAACCTAACTAAGCAAATTCTTTTACTGTTGCCAGATTCCAATATTCGAAACTCGGAGTGATGGTAGAGACAACTTCTTGGCCTCTTTGATAATTGCAGGGAACTACTCAATCCCTGAAGTCATGATCTGCTTCAACGAAAAGGTCTTCCGAGGCAATCGCTGCATCAAATATGATTCTGGAAGTTTTTCAGCCTTTACATCACCAAACATGGCTCCTCTGGTCACCCTAGAGATTGAGATCAAAGGTAAGTTTATTTGAGTTACATTCTACTCTCTAGCTTGACCCCTTTCAGTCATCTTTGACTCAAAAGTGTCTATGCTGAAGAAGATTCTACCTGTTTGTGTGGTCATCGAAGCCCTTGAACTGCTGCTGCTCTCTATTGATCTACAAAGGGTGCAGCCCATGGTGAATGTGAAGCTCAAGATACAGATCTGAGGTTTGACGGTCATGTGCAGGACATGGTGATTCTTTAGGTGAGCTCAGAACCAGAGCGTCATGTATCGGCTCTGCATTTATGGAAGCCTCCTTGGTGGCAGGGAATGCCTGTGATTTGCTCCTGCCTTCCCTAGATGGCCTAACTGTCTGCACGCGAATGCGGTGGATGGGTTTTCCTGTGAATTAAGGGATAGAAAAGACACCAAACAAATAAGGCAATGTCCCACAAAACAATACAGTAAGGCTAACCTGGTAAACAAATGCCTGGTGAAGTCAAATGTGTTTGCCGAAAGGCACAAATATGGCAGCTATGCTCTAAACAGGCAAAATGCAATTAGGTCACTCAGATGAAGAAGAAGAAGAAAGAAATTCTCCTTGACCTTTAACTATCCTTTACTGAAGCTTCAAATGGAGAAGAGCCAAAATTTGATGTCTCTTTTCTGCTGTTTGTCGTCTCTATCATCGTCTGTGATTTTTATTCTAAAAAGCAATCAACAACACTAAAAAAAATTCCAGAACCTAATTTTGGTCACTTTTTTATCATAACCCTATGTTTTCACTGTTCTACAGGAAACCTGTATTTTTACCTTTGACCATGGCTTGTATTTGCACAGTGACCCTGACCTAAATTTTCATATTTTGACCATGACCTATATTTTCACATTTCAACCATGCCCTATATTTCAACAGTTGACCATGACCTTGACATTTTCACATTTCAACCATGACCTATATTTTCACAGTTGACCATGACCTTTTTTTCACATTTCAACCATGACCTTTATTTTCACAGTTGACCTTGGCCTGTATTTTATTATATTGACCATGACCTGTATTTTCACAGTTGATCGTAATCTATATATTTACAGTTGAAAATGACCTGTATTTTTTAGTTGACAAAAAAAAAAAATGTTAAAACTGATCACACATATATTTTCGAAATTGACCATGCCTTATATTTTCACAGTGGACTATGCAGCAGTATTTAGAGCGGGAACTACAGAAAAGTTCTCTATTGCTACAAACATGTGCTGTAATGTTGGACTGATACGGCTTTTTCCTGGCATCACATCTCAGACAGTATGTAATCTTCTCATCGTTGTCTGTCTGTTCATTACTTCAGTGCATATGTGTTATTTCTTCAGATATCAGGTCTGGAGTAGTCATCCGCGATCACAGCTGCCCAGTTCTCTTGAACAGTTGAGGAGGTTTTATTTGTTTATATTATTATTCACCTGCCTAATCATCAGAGAGCGAGTGAGTAATGATACAGTCAGACAGAGTGTTAAATAATACTTTGTAATGGATTCATTCCGAAGTAGCAGATCAATTTTGATCATCTCATTAGACAGTGGCAGCATCAGATACCATCGCAAGCAGTACATCTCAGAAGATCAGCTACAAGAGCAAGAGGATGACCACAGAAACATAGATTGACAACATTAAAGACATTTTATGCTTTTACAGAATGACAGTAGTTCATAGTTCATGTTAAAGATCATCTTCATCGCACATCAGACATGACCATAAGTACTCCGATCTCCTCCTGAGTATGTCTGTAAGTTTTTTAAGGCTAACAACTCCCATTCTGTTCTGGTTGGTCTAACAACGGTTGGTTCCTGCATGGTTTTCCTGCCTCGTGGCTCTTGTTGGTACGCCCATGATATGCTGTCTATTGAGTGAGCAAATCTTTTTCCATAAAACTGAAAGCCTCACAGCATTTAGTCCCTCGTATGGCATTGATGATGTCTCTCCTGTCCATAGAGGGCCCATTCCTGTTAGTAGCACTGCCAGCCAGAGCATCTGCTCTTTCATTTTCTTTCACACCAGCATTCCCTGGGACAAAAATGAGATTTAGAAAATCTGTTTTCAGCTATTCTAGGGCCTTTGTCACAGCCATGACCTCCATTGTCATGTTGCTGGTGGTAGAAAAGGCTCCACTGTTTCTTTAATGACTTTTCCTTTGATTCTTGCTGTGAAAGCCCATGCACGTCGCTTCTGATAAATTAAAGAACCATCTGTATATATAACGACATCTTCCCGTGATGTGTGTTTCTCTACCAATGCTTTCACTTCTGCATCAACCACTGGTGGCGCCAAATCACGGCACTATACATCAGTTCACCACCAAGTGTTGCAGAACTGACCAGTCTATCTGCCTGCTCATTTCCCAATTTAGAGCATTGTAATTATCTTGTTTATAAATTTCTTTATGTTGTGCTCATAGTTTTTGGTGTCTATGGCTTAGGCATTGCGAATATGCTTTCTATTTCCGAAGTGCTAAGTTCAATCCCAGCTGCAGTCGATTTGGCAGCAGACCACCTTGCATCGGATTCAACAGTAGTATCAAGAGCTGACTGTTTAGAAAGCAGTGGCAAACCACTGACCATAGAATTGCCTAGTGAAATTACAAACAGACAAACAAAATGCTGGGGTTGGTTCTGTAACGTTCTTTAAAGGATGTGTTACTAACATGCTGATATTTACTGGCTGCTGTGTGTGCATGCCAGTCGGCAAGGCATCTGATGATGATGATGATGTGTGTGCAGGTTCGAGCTTTCCTTCAGCCTCCTGTCCAAGGTGTGGTTTTGCAGACTTACGGAGCTGGCAATGCCCCCAACAATAGACCCGACCTTCTGTCGTTGCTCAAGGAAGCTTGCAACTGGGGGGTCCTGATTGTCAACATCTCCCAGTGTAGCAGAGGCAATGTGGGGGTTATCTATGCTACAGGCATGGTGAGTTGTCAGGTCTAGTTGTGTCCTGTCTGGTCTAGTTGTGTCTTGTCTAGTCTAGTTATGTCTTGTCTGGTCTAGTTGTGTCCTGTCTGGTCTAGTTGTGTCTTGTCTAGTCTAGTTATGTCTTGTCTGGTCTAGTTGTGTCCTGTCTGGTCTAGTTGTGTTTTGTCTCATCTGATTGTGTCTTTTCTGGTCTAGTTGTGTCTTGTCTGGTCTAGTTGTGTCCTGTCTGGTCTAGTTGTATCCTGTCTGGTCTACTTGTGTCTTGTCTCATCTGATTGTGTCTTTTCTGGTCTAGTTGTGTCTTGTCTGGTCTAGTTGTGTCTTGTCTCATCTGATTGTGTCTTGTCTGGTCTAGTTGTGTCTTGTCTGGTCTAGTTGTGTCCTGTCTGGTCTAGTTGTGTCTTGTCTGGTCTAGTTGTGTCTTGTCTAGTCTAGTTGTGTCTTGTCTGGTCTAGTTGTGTCTTGTCTGGTCTAGTTATGTCTTGTCTAGTCTAGTTGTGTTTTGTCTCATCTGATTGTGTCTTTTCTGGTCTAGTTGTGTCTTGTCTGGTCTAGTTGTGTCCTGTCTGGTCTAGTTGTGTCCTGTCTGGTCTAGTTATGTCTTGTCTGGTCTAGCTGTGTCTTGTCTGGTCTAGTTGTGTCTTGTCTGGTCTAGTTATGTCCTGTCTGGTCTAGTTGTGTCCTGTCTAGTCTAGTTATGTCCTGTCTGGTCTAGTTGTGTCCTGTCTAGTCTAGTTATGTCCTGTCTAGTCTAGTTGTGTTTTGTCTCATCTGATTGTGTCTTTTCTGGTCTAGTTGTGTCTTGTCTGGTCTAGTTGTGTCCTGTCTGGTCTAGTTGTGTCTTGTCTGGTCTAGTTGTGTCTTGTCTGGTCTAGTTGTGTCTTGTCTGGTCTAGTTGTGTCTTGTCTGGTCTAGTTGTGTCTTGTCTAGTCTAGTTGTGTCTTGTCTGGTCTAGTTGTGTCCTGTCTGGTCTAGTTGTGTCCTGTCTGGTCTAGTTATGTCCTGTCTAGTCTAGTTGTGTCCTGTCTAGTCTAGTTATGTCCTGTCTGGTCTAGTTGTGTCCTGTCTGGTCTAGTTGTGTCCTGTCTAGTCTAGTTGTGTCCTGTCTGGTCTAGTTGTGTCCTGTCTGGTCTAGTTATGTCTTGTCTAGTCTAGTTGTGTCCTGTCTGGTCTAGTTATGTCCTGTCTGGTCTAGTTGTGTTTTGTCTCATCTGATTGTGTCTTTTCTGGTCTGAATGTGTCTTGTCTGGTCTGAATGTGTCTTGTCTGGTCTAGTTGTGTCTTGCCTGGTCTAACTCTGTCATAGTCAACATCTCCCAGTATACTAGAGGCAACATGGAGGTTATCTATACAACATTTATGGCGGGTTGTTTCATGTCTAGTCTAGCTCTGTGATATGTTATCACAATCAACATCACAGTACATTGGGCATTAGACTTATAGTAGTTCCCCCTGGTCTCTGGGTAGTGAGACCGGAAGCCAGAGGGAATTATTTTGAACGTAAAAAATCCCTTGGCAGCTGAAAATCGAAAAGAGTAGCCTAACAGCGCTGCCTGGGCAAAATCTACCAAAAGTATTTTAGGTGCCTCGCCGGTTCAACAAAGCCTGTACACTGTGCTGAGCTTCTTTGGACTTAGAGTTGAGTTAGAAGAGGAACGGAGCACTTATGGGTTACACCCGTGTGCCATAATGTTGATCCGTTGTTCAAAACCTCAAAACCGCAGCTACACTATGCGAAGTTTGGTAAGGTTAAGCAAACTTTAACTTTCAGGATCGGAGCTATAAATGAACACATGATACATTTTACGGTGCTGAAATACTTAGGTGAGGCATGGGCTTTCCTGTAAACTACGGCCGGTAGACAACAGTAGACGGCCAGTTAGTCAGAGTTCTGTTCCCTGGCTGCAGTGCAATTACGGACTGGACAGGAGGAAACGAAACAAATAACATAATTACTGTGTGTTGGCGATAGACAACGTGCACTGCCCTGCTATGATCAAAGTAGCAACCCAAACCTAAACCCTAACCCTAATCCTTAACCTAACCCACACCCTACCCCTAACCCTAACCCTAACCCAAACCCTAACCGTATGATGACAGTAGGGCACTGAACTGCGCCAACACACAGTAATTATGTCACTTTTGTTGTTCCCTCTAATCCACTCCATAATGCGTCGCAAGAAGTGTTAATTGAACGCGGTCGCTAATTTGAGTTGCAGCGCGGGTCTGCAAGGCATGTCGACTTCACTTTTGTTTTTTGATTCGTGCCTTCTCCAGTCCATAATTGCAATGCAGCCAGGAGACAGAACTCCGACTAACTGACCGTCTACTGTTGTCTACCGGCCGTAGTTGACAGGAGAGCCGAGGCATGTTATACACAGAGTGTTTATGGCTGTTTTTTTAATTTTAGTTCTGTGGCGTGAATTGTTGCTTGTGTTAATGCAAGGTGTCTCTTTGTTAAATCATGTGATTCATTTGTTAAACTTAACTTTACTAAAAAACCTTTACTAAAATCTGACATCACTGCTCTCTGGGTGAACCCACAGGTTATCCGTCTCACTCAGCAGGTGTTTGATGGTATGTATTAAGTTGTTTATGAAGCTCACTCGCATATGCACTAAATTCTCAGACGCTGTTTCCTGCAATTGCTAGCACTTTTTGCCAAATCTGAAAGCCTCCAGCTTCTTCGTGGTTTTTGTTGTTGTGCTTGTTAGATTTGTTACAGCCAGACAGCGCTGAAAGATGAGCAAGAATGTATAAAGGATCACCAGTTGTTTTTAAATTTGTTTATTGTAGTCTTGTGAAATTCTGTTGTATCATAATTTTATCTAAATGAGTCTTAGAGTTTTAGCACATTAGCCCTGCAAATGACTCTTAAGAGTTTTAGCACATTGGCTTCGCAAATGAGTCTTAGAGTTTTAGCACATTAGCCCTGCAAATGAGTCTTAGAGTTTTAGCACATTAGCCCTGTAAATGAGTCTTAGAGTTTTAGCACATTAGCCCTGCAAATGAGTCTTAGAGTTTTAGCACATTAGCCCTGCAAATGAGTCTTAGAGTTTTAGCACATTAGCCCTGCAAATGAGTTTTAGAGTTGTAGCACATTAGCCCTGCAAATGAGTCTTAGAGTTTTAGCACATTAGCCCTGCAAATGAGTCTTAGAGTTTTAGCACATTAGGCCTGCAAATGAGTCTTAGAGTTTTAGCACATTAGCCGTGCAGTAGAGCATCTTAATTGCACATTACCAGTTGTTAACATTCCTGTTAGCCCACAATCCCATGATGCACCACAAGGATACAACTATAGAAGCATCAGCACTCAGTGTAGGCTAGCCATCATGATATTACTAGAGGCAGATGATATGCTAGATAGTGCTTCTCTTCTCTAACTGTGCAGTGTTGTTATAAAATTACATTTATCTTGATTCATCATCATCATGTAGCAGGTCCTTTGCAGAACGTCGATCTCATCACAGTCTGCCTGAAAGAAACTCGGTCTCTCGCCAGTTCTCCCACCTCATGTACTTTCATACTCAAGGAGTCACTTATATCCTGTGCCCATCTTCGTGTCGGTGGGCCTCTGCCCCTCCTTCCTGGTACCATGCCTTCTTCTATAGTTTTTTCCAATCATTTGTGGCGCTTAATATGGCCAAACTATTTCAGCTTCCGAGAAAGAATGCTGTTTATTACCCAATCTTCCTTGATGTTCATATCTTTTAAGATGTCAATATTTCTCCTCTTCTTTTGTCCAAGATATTCTGAGAATCTTTCTATAGCATTTCAGTTCAAAAGCACCTATTCTCTTTCTTAAGGACTTTATCTTGATTACACACGTCTAATAACAAGGTTGACCGGCTCACTACACTCAAGGGAAAGACAAGGTGGACATACAACCAGATAACGACTGGTACCAATAGTATTGGAACTCTGTGCTGGCCGCTAAAGATAAGGGGGGGGGGAAAATATGTTAATCTATAAATATTTGACTAAGTTCTTCAGTTTACTTTGAATACACAGTAATGATCTGAAGCAGACACAGCCTGAACAAGAACATATTAATAGACTCCACTCAGAATGTGACAGCTATGATATGAAGATCAATGTCGAAAAAACAGAAGTGATGACATTCTCCGGAAAAGGAGGAACCACCAATATCAAAATTGATGAACACCTGTTAAAGCAGATGAAGGATTATACATATTTGGGGAGCATCTTTTTCAGAAGATGGACAAATTAATATAGAAGTATAGTCAAATAAGTTTGAGGCCAAATGGCACCAATTTTGAAACGCAAGCATGTGAATATGGACACTAAAAGAACACTGTTTAACACAATATTCTTACCAATGCTCTGCTATCAATGTCAAACATGGACACTTTCTTCAAAAGACAGAAGATAAATAGTTACGACAGAAAGGAAATGTTGACGTACTATGCTAGGTGTAACAAGGAAAGATCGACTTAGGAACGATGATATCAGTAGAAGAGTCAGCACAGAACCAATACTGAACTTTATGGGTAGACAGGAAATCAAATGGTTTGGCCATGTAACAAGATTCGCATCAGACAGGGCACCACAGAGAGCTAGATACAACAGATACAACGGTAATAGAGTCAGAGGTGGACCATGCAGAATATGGACCGCAGAAATATCAGAGACACTGAAAAGTACTTTAAACAAAGCAACAAAAAAAGGGGGAAGGCCGTTTCTGAGATCTCTTCCTGCCCTGATGCCACAAGACATTCCAGGAGTAGAGAAAAGAAGAAGAAATTATGATGTGAAGACATTTATAAATGAAGTAAAGACGTTGATAAATAGAGACCTTATAAAGTGAAGGCATAATATATGAAGACCTTATGAAGTGCAGACATGAAGTAAACACATTGATAACTGAAGACATTATGAAGTAAAGACATTTGTACAGGAAGGCATTAACTCTTTAAGTCCCAAGGGGTTTAGCAACAGAGGCTCAAGAGGTAGAGATAAACATATAATGGGCGCATCTTACGTTCACTGGACTTCTAGGTAAGAACCTATGAACGTATGATGTGTTCTTTGGGACTGAAAGAGTTAAGAAGTTAAGACATTTATAAATGAAAATATTATATGTTATTTTTGTCAGGCCCTGGAGGAGGCCGGTGTTATTGGAGGTGGGGACATGACCCCTGAGGCTGCACTGTCCAAGCTCTGCTATGTCCTGGGCAAGGAGGAGTGGTCACTTCAGCACAAACGCAAGGTAAGGTGGGGGAAAACTGCTTGCAGTGTGTTAGTTTATCTGGGATACGTTCTCTGTGTATATGTATAACACTTTCAAGATATTGGTTAATCTGGTATAAGTTATCTGTTTATATTCATAATGCTTGCAATATGTTAGTAAATCTGGGATAAGTTATCTGTTTATACGCATAATGCTTGCAATATGTTAGTTAATCTAGAATAAATTCTCTGTTTATCTGTATAATGCTTGCAATATGTTAGTTAATCTGGGGTAAGTTATCTGTTTATACGCATAATGCTTGCAATATGTTAGTTAATCTAGAATAAATTCTCTGTTTATCTGTATAATGCTGGCAATATGTTAGTTAATCTAGAATAAATTCTCTGTTTATCTGTATAATGCTTGCAATATGTAAGTTAATCTGGGGTAAGTTATCTGTTTATATGTATAACACTTGCAATATGTTAGTTAATCTGGGGTAAGTTATCTGTTTATATGCATAATTTTTGCAATATGTTAGTTAATCTGGGATAAGTTATCTGTGTATGTGCACACACATGGGCTCTTACTGAAACTAATGAATACAAAATCATAACAGAGATGAGATGCCAGAGTAGCAAGACGAAATAAAATGTATTATGCTAACAGGCATGTCGTAAAAGACGACTAATTGGGGATTTTTCCTCCAAAGTCAGAGTGCACCTGCCTGAGCTGTGAGGAATCAGCAGTCCGCATACAGGTAACCTAGATCTGTAAAACTGATGCGCACAAAAAATGTCAAGTTCTGAAACAAAGTTCTGTCGAACTTCCTGCTTGAGTTTACAGACGGTGAGAGCTGTGAAGTAGTAGTACACAGAGCAGTGGTAGTGCAGTGGCTAAATTCCCGCCTGTTGGCCCACAGATTTAGGATTTAAATCCACATCCAGGTTGATTTTTTCTCCAGATTGACATGGGCTCGAAGGTTGATTCAGCCTAAAAATGCCTATAGGTTGTATCTTGCAAAAGGGAGCCGGTGTGAAGTTGACCACATCACCCACTGAGGACCACATCACCTATTGAGGACCACATCACCCATTGAGGACCACATCACCCACTGAGGATCACATCACCCATTGAGGACCACATCATCACCCACTGAGGACCACAAATCACTCACTGAGGACCACACATCACCCACTGAGGACCACATCACCCATTGAGGGCCAGTCAGTCTATAAAATATGGGAGCCAGTGTGAAGTTGACCACATCACCCACTGAGGACCACATCACTTATTGAGGACCACATCACCCATTGAGGACCACATCACCCACTGAGGATCACATCACCCACTGAGGACCACACATCACTCACTGACGACCACACATCACCCACTGAGGACCACATCACCCATTGAGGACCACATCAGCCACAGGACCACATCACTCACTGAGGACCACACATCACCCACTGAGGACCACACATCACCCACTGAGGACCACATCACCCATTGAGGACCACATCACCCACTGAGGACCACACATCACCCACTGAGGACCACACATCACCCACTGAGGACCACATCACCCATTGAGGACCACATCAGCCACAGGACCACATCACTCACTGAGGACCACACATCACCCACTGAGGACCACATCACCCATTGAGGACCACATCACCCACTGAGGACCACATCACCCATTGAGGACCACATCATCACCTACTGAGGACCACACATGACCCACTAAGGACCACATCACCCACTGAGGACCACACATCACCCACTGAGGACCACATCACCCACTGAGGACCACACATCACCCACTGAGGACCACATCACCCATTGAGGACCACATCACCCACTGAGGACCACATCACCCATTGAGGACCACATCATCACCTACTGAGGACCACACATCACCCACTAAGGACCACATCACCCACTGAGGACCACACATCACCCACTGAGGACCACACATCACCCATTGAGGACCACACATCACCCACTGAGGACCACATCACCCATTGAGGGCCAGTCAGTCTATAAAATATGGGAGCCAGTGTGAAGTTGACCACATCACCCACTGAGGACCACATCACTTATTGAGGACCACATCACCCATTGAGGACCACATCACCCACTGAGGATCACATCACCCACTGAGGACCACACATCACTCACTGACGACCACACATCACCCACTGAGGACCACATCACCCATTGAGGACCACATCAGCCACAGGACCACATCACTCACTGAGGACCACACATCACCCACTGAGGACCACACATCACCCACTGAGGACCACATCACCCATTGAGGACCACATCACCCACTGAGGACCACACATCACCCACTGAGGACCACACATCACCCACTGAGGACCACATCACCCATTGAGGACCACATCAGCCACAGGACCACATCACTCACTGAGGACCACACATCACCCACTGAGGACCACATCACCCATTGAGGACCACATCACCCACTGAGGACCACATCACCCATTGAGGACCACATCATCACCTACTGAGGACCACACATGACCCACTAAGGACCACATCACCCACTGAGGACCACACATCACCCACTGAGGACCACATCACCCACTGAGGACCACACATCACCCACTGAGGACCACATCACCCATTGAGGACCACATCACCCACTGAGGACCACATCACCCATTGAGGACCACATCATCACCTACTGAGGACCACACATCACCCACTAAGGACCACATCACCCACTGAGGACCACACATCACCCACTGAGGACCACACATCACCCATTGAGGACCACACATCACCCATTGAGGGCCAGCCAGTCTATAAAATATGAGACCAGCATCATCAACCCAATATGCCATTAGAAAAAATAATTGTTTTAAATGTTTTTATTTACTTTATTTTTTTCTTCAAATTTTGTGAACAGATGCTGGCTCGGAACTTACGGGGAGAAATGACCACAGTGGCAGAGAGGGAACTTTCCGTTTCGGACTCAGAACTGATAGACAGTGTGGCTCGGTTTATGAGTTTGAGTACAAAGGAGGTACAGTTAAGATTGTGACTGTTATCATTTACCAGTAGATTTTGTTTTTTTTAATCTACAGGGTTCCCCGTGTGGGTTCCGGGGTCCCATTGTGGGGAAAACAAAACGAAACCCTCTGCCTCCCCAGCAAGCATGTCAAAGGAGTCGACTAATTGGGTGCATCCTTCGAAATCAAGAGTACATCTGCCTGAGAGGCAAGGAACCAAGAGTCTGCATAACAAATAAGCCAGATCTGTAAATTGGATGTGCACGCAACACTGATGTTCTGGAACTACTAAAGTTCGGAGGTGGAGGATCACCTAGAAATGTTCACAGATGCTTACCGCCAGTAAACATGAAAAAAGAAGAAGAATCTATCTGGTGTTGCATAAGATTCCAAATATAGGAAAATTTAAAAAAAAAAATTTTTATTTAGCAAGCTATTCATGATTACCCTTGTTTTGGAAAACACATTTCGATATGTGTCCTCCAGTGCTGAAGAATTTAAAAGCGACTGCATGTTTTACCAGGATTCTGACATTTGCCATTGCCCTGGTAAAAACATGCAGAAGCTTTTGAGTGTGGTTGAATTTGTACTTCAGTTATAAAGGATTCACTTTTTTTGCTTAATTTATGTAATTGTTTCTGTAGTATGCACCTGATGAGATACTGCGAAATATGAAAGGCAGTAAATTAGGCAATCTGTTGTTTGTGTTTTCTTTGTTGAAACCTAAAGGTTAGTTAGTTAGTTGACAGATTATCCTCATTGCACGTCGAACCACTTGGTCTTTAAGTGGCCAGATCCCCTCCTCAGTAAATCCCACAGCAGGTAACGGCTGAAGACCACCAGTTCTGTGTTAATTTATTATTCTGGGGGCATCAGGTTGTGATGTGTCAGGTTGTGATGCATCAGGTTGTGATGCGTCAGGTTGTCATGCGTCAGGTTGTCATGCGTCAGGTTGTCATGCGTCAGGTTGTCATGCGTCAGGTTGTCATGCGTCAGGTTGTCATGCATCAGGTTGTCATGCGTCAGGTTGTCATGCAACAGGTTGTCATGCAACATGTTGTCATGCGTCAGGTTGTGATGCTCAGGTTGTGATGCTTCAGGTTGTCATGCGTCAGGTTGTAATGCGTCAGGTTGTCATGCGTCAGGTTGTCATGCGTCGGGTTGTCATGCGTCGGGTTGTCATGCGTCGGGTTGTCATGCATGCGTCAGGTTGTCATGCGTCAGGTTGTCATGCGTCAGGTTGTCATGCAACAGGTTGTCATGCGTCTGGTTGTCGTGCGTCTGGTTGTGATGCTTCAGGTTGTCGTGCATCAGGTTGTCATGCGTCAGGTTGTGATGCGTCAGGTTGTGATGCGTCAGGTTGTGATGCGTCAGGTTGTGATGCGTCAGGTTGTGATGCGTCAGGTTGTGATGCGTCAGGTTGTCATGCGTCAGGTTGTCATGCATTAGGTTGTGATGCGTCAGGTTGTCATGCGTCAGGTTGTCATGCGTCAGGTTGTCATGCGTCAGGTTGTCATGCGTCAGGTTGTCATGCATCAGGTTGTCATGCACCAGGTTGTCATGTGTCAGGTTGTCATGCGTCAGGTTGTCATGCGTCAGGTTGTCATGCGCCAGGTTGTCATTCATCAGTTTACCACATGTTCTGGAACCAAATATAGATACAGAAACAACCTAATGTCAGAAGAATAGTAACTAGCTTGAAATAGCCTTACTTGTGAACAAGGTGAGACGTACGAGAGGTAGATAACGAGATGTGTGTAATCAATATGCTATGGGAACAGTTAGTATCTACACCTGAAGACATTTGCTGTGGGAGACTGAGCCTCTATGGGTATGCCTGGTGTCTTTTTTGACGATTTTTACATTAGTAATCAGTACTAGTAAACAGGGCTTTTTCTTTTTTGTTTTAGAAAGAATAAAAAGATGCAGATGCTCATCACAAAGTACCTTGTACAGTACTGCTGAAAAAAATGATGCCTGAAAAAGGTACCATTTTACATACCATTGTGTAAAAAAAGTAAAGGGCTCTTTTCCGCACCTTCAGGCATATAGGGCTAGACCATTATTTTATAGACCAGTTGGCACTCAGTGGATTATGTGGTCAACATCAGCCAGCCACTTTTTCTTGCCAGGAACGTCACGTCAGCCACCTTTACTTCCCCCAAACTTTTACAGCCAGAGTTTTTGCTTCTCATTTAAGGCTGGGTCCATCAGGACCCGAACTCACATCCTCCCAGTCTGTAGTTGAGCCTCTAGCCACTGCACCATGGCAGCTCCCATGCCCTTGTCTACCGCCAGAAGAAAAAAATCCTCCCAGATAATAATACAATTCTTGCCTCACTTGTTATCAAATAATAGACATTTATATTTAATTTGCCTTTGTGTTCAGGAAATCATGAAAGTCAAAGATGCCATTTATCCTTGTCTAATGGCTGCTGCAGCTAAAACGGGGGACATTCCGGCACTGGAGAAACTCCGCACATCAGTATGCATTTTCTGTTGAATTGTTCTTTGTTTGTCACTGACATTGCACTGTTTTGTTTAACCGACGATCTCTTTGGGATTTTCCTTTATCTTTGACTTAGCTTTGTGACTGCTCCTCTAACCTTTAGATGAGACAGTCTCTTCTTCTTCTTCTTCACGTTCACCAGCTGTAAACTCCAGCAGAAGGTTCTGGGTGTTCATCCACTTCTGGACTTTAGTCTTATTTCAGAGTCTGTTGTATTTTGCACATCCAGTTTACCGATCGGGTTTATTTGTATGCAGACTGTTGGTTTCTTGTCTCTTAGGCAGATGCACACTGACTTTGAAGGAAACATCTCGAATAAGTTGATTTTTATGACATGCTGGGGCAGAAGTCAGTCTGTTCTCTTTTTCCTCTCACAATGGGGCCTTGACACCCACAATGAAAGATAGACAGTGGGCTTACTTTCTTCACTTCACCTGACTTCATCTCTTGACTTGTCTGTTTTGGGAGATCATGTCAGTGGCTAAACTATCATAGGAAGTTTGCTGGCACGTGTCATTAGAACATGCAAGCCGCTCTACCAGTTCCAGAAAAAGGCAACGAGGAGATGGTTTTGTTTTTTATGTTTGCAGTTCTATCACTGGACATTCTCTGCTGAAAGCATTAATGAAAGTCATTTCATATTCATATGTTTGTGTGAAGGTGGGGAGAGGGGAAGAGATTGTCTAGCGAGATGAAGATCTTAACTGGTTACTCTACCTAAGCTAAGTTAAAAACTGACATCATAGCACTTTAGACGTTCCCATAAGTGTTCTGTCTCCAACTTCAGCAGCAGTGGCAAAGCTCTAATTCTGACAGTACCAGTAGCGGTCTGTTTGTGTGTCCGTCTTGTCTTTTCCCTGAGTGTTGAGTGTCAGAAAATGAAGAGAAAAAGCAAGAACAAACAAGTGGGTATTACATAAGGACAGGCACGCAGAAACCTGTTGCAGGGGAAAGATAGAAGATGTGCCAGTCAACTCCTTCTCAGTACACTGAGCATGGAGACACTGAAATGGCTGCTGCATAGGAGGATGGAGCTGGTATGGGTCAGACCAGTGTTCTAGGATTTGATACAGACAACAAGCTGAATATTGGTCAGATCCCCTGGCTCATTATGCTGTGACCTAGAATATACACAAGTTTAACATTTCACACCTCAGCTGCAGTTTCTGCTTTGGGACACCTGTTTGAGGTTTAAACTAAATATTTCTCAACTTGAGAATCAGCTGTACACACATGCGGTCCTTGTAACTGACTCACAGAGTATGTTGAGAAAGGTGGAGATAGGCATTCTCCGTGCAGAGTGGCAAGCATCACATCAAAGGTCCTGGGTAGTTATCATCCTTTGTATAAGTTCTCCAGGGTATGCCGTTGTGGTGAAAAATGAGCATGCAGATAGACTAGCCGGTTCTGCACCACTTGGTGGGGAACTGATTATGACAGGCTTGATGTTGTGAGGGCCCTTTGGGAGCAAGTGAACAGTGCCGAGAAACAGATAGATCATTACGGTCTGAGGAGAATGATGCTGCGAGGAGTTACAAGGGGATCTGGCCGACGCTCTCTACACTCAGGGAAAAGACGAGACGGATATTCAATCAGACAGTTACTAGTACCATCGGAAATTTAACTCTTTGCTTGCTGCTGAAGATTGGGACGGAGCGCCTATGGGTGTGTGCTGTGATGTCGATTCTTAATTCAACATTCAACTAAATATCTCTGAAAAAAGTATTTACTTGTCAGTTCTGACAGTAAAGTTGTTTACTAATGCTCAAATTTTAATCTGTGTTGTAGGGAGGCCACCTCGGAGCAGAAAATGAAGATGGCAGAACAGCTCTTCATGTGGCGTGCCGTCAAGGTCACATCAATGTCGTCCACTACCTCTTACACCATGGGGTCAGTGTTCATGTCAGGGACAGCCGCAAAGAGACCCCGCTGATTGACGCCATTGAAGGGGGTCATCTGGAGGTCATCAGGCTGCTGGTTCAGACTGGGGCAACTATGCCACTGCCGAAGGGTCAGGTGGCAGTTAGAATGAACAGGTGTGTATGTATCAGCATAATCCTATTACCTTTGTGTTCCCATTGGAGCATAGGGCTGCTTCTGTTACTCGTCATTAATTTCACAGCAGTCGTGAACCACCCACTTAAAGAAAAGGATAAGAACATCAATCAGAAAACCAATAACCTAAGCACAGGATGAACACCTTGTTTGGACAGATGAGATCAAATAGTCACGACAGAAAGGAAATGTTAATCTACTATGCTAGATGTAACAAGGAAAGATCCACTTAGTAATGATGATATCAGAAAAAGAGGCGGCATAGAAGAAATACTGAACTTTATAGGGAGACAACAATTCAAATGGTTTGGTCATGTAACAAGATTGGCATCAGACAGGGCACAACAGAGAGCAGTATAATACAGATACAACGGTAACAGAACCAGAGGTCGACTACACAGAAAATAGACTGCAGAAATATCAGAGACTCTGAAAAGTACTTTGTGCAAAGAGAACAGAAGGTTGTCCTGTTCCAGAGATCTCTCCCTGCCCTGACGCCTCCAGGCACTCCAGGAGTAGAGACAAGAAGAAGAGAACAAGTCATTACCCTGCGTCCCAGAACAGGGCACAACTGATTATGCAGCCACGTGTACACAAAATTTAAGACAGGCGTATCAGTCATGTACACATATGGAAAGTTGCTTTAGACAGAAGAACACATACTCCAAGACTGCACAAATTTATCACATTAAGGCAAACCTTTTGGCCTCAAAGAATAACAATGGAAAGTCAAATTCTATGGACCTCTGAACGAATTAAAAAATTGACTGTGACAATTTTTATGGGAGATAGAAGCAGGACACAAAGCAGAACCTTATGTCTCCCTTGACATCCGAAGCAGTAAAAGAGGACGTAAAGAAGAAGAAGAAGAAGTAAGCAGAATTGCAGATGTCAAAAACTTATATCAGGTGAATGAAAGAAGAAGAGATATTAGTTTAACATTTGAACTGGTTGTTTTCACTGTGCCAGTGATGTTCCTAGCATCTGTTTTCTTCTTGTGTCATTGTTCTTCTATGGAGTGCATTTTTGTCTCCTAATTCTTTCAGTACCAAACAACGCATGTCCTCTTACAGTCTGTTCCCCTCATGTCTCAAACATCAATTATATTTCAGGTTTGGTCAGTGTATACTAAATAAATCTGGCAACTACAGAGGTATCTCCCATTAACTTTTCATTTCTACAAGACAGCAAGTGGTTAGAATTTTGATGGCAGTTTTTAATGAAAACGTAAATTTTTTTTAAAGCCTTGGTGCAAATGAGCTAAAAAGCTCTGAAATAGTCTGCTGATGGCAGGTTGCAATCCTAGAGAGGAAATCATAAAAAAGGGGACCTGTTCACGTTTCTAGGCCCATCTACACACTTTCTCAGTCTGATCTAGGTCAGAATGGTGTCACGTTGTTCTGCTTTCTTCTAAAAGAGTCTCTCATGTGACCTAAGTTGAGGCTGTGGGTAGGGGGTTTTGGGTTAGGGCCAGTTCTTCATATTCTGGGGTCGTTGAAAGCTGTATCATCGTGTAGTGTAGAATACACGACTTCGGCGCTGATGTAATTGGAGGAAAGACAATGTGACACCCCTCCGACATAGAAGAGTCTGTGAAAGTATGAATGAAAGGTCAAGTAGTGTGTAGATGGGCCTGGAAAAGTGAACAGGACCTTAAAAAAAAGTATTTATTTTGTTTCCCAATTTTCCTGGATGATGTTGTATGCAGTGAGAAACAGAATTAGGATTAAATTGAACGAAAACAGAAATTATAGTCATTTACAATTTTGAAGTTTGAACAATGTATCAACATCATGGCACACGGGAAGTAACCCATGAGTGCTCCGTTCTTCATTTAACTCAAGTCCAAAGAAGCTCAGCACAGTGCACAGGCTCTGTAGCACTGGCGAGGATCCTGAAAATACTTTGGATAGATTTTGCCCGGGCAGCGCTGTTAGGCTACTCTTTTCGATTTCCAACTGCCAAAGGATTTTTTACGTGTGCAACAGTACACACGGGCATTTTATCTCACTACCCAGAGACCAGGGGGAATTACTAGAAGTCCAAGTCCACGTGAACAAATCTCAGCCTTTACCTGGGATTAAACCCGGAACCTCTAGCACTCGAGGCGGACACCATACCTCGAGACCATGCAGTCAACAAAAACGAGCATATATTGCACTATAACATGTTTATTATTAATCCAGCCAAACATGAGTATGACCGCCAAGCAACAGGTTATACACAGGATATGCACACCAGCACTCTGCTACTAGTGCCAAACTTGGACAGTGTTAAAATGTCACCTAACTAAAATACACACTTGTGAAATGAAATGCCTGCGGAAAGCTGTGAGCTTAACCATCTGAGGCAGAGATGTAAATGGTACTATCAGACTGTAGGAACAACACCCACCTTGCTCCTAATTCATTGAGAGCCAGAAGTGCAGATGGTTTGGTCATCTCATTAGATTGCAGCCACAGGTACCAACAGGCACTGTAAAAAGGGACAGATCTGATGTGAAAGCACGAGGTTGTTTAGGAGAATGTAGATTGATGACATTAAAGACCTTCTACATTGACATGGAATGACACTAGCCATTGGTACCCATTAAGTGCTGGATGGCAAACTGTTTTTCCCCACGATGCTTAACGGCAAAAATGGATATTGGTGATAAACATGGGGGTTAATTCTGGCACAGTTTCTGCCAAGTGATTACGTCAATTCATGGTTTGCAATATAACTATCTTTGAAAATTGTTTTGTTTTCTTATTGAATGTGTTCTCACGTAACACTACCATCCTTGTGTCTATCAGTGCTGCTTCGGAAGATGATGTCAAGGCCATTGAAGCTTGGGTAACTGCTGGAGCAAGTCCAGACTGGCATGATTATGACGAGAGAACCCCGTTACATGTGGTATGTTACATGTGAGAGTGATATGTTACATGTGAGAGTGATATGTTACATGTGAGAGTGATATGTTACATGTGAGAGTGGTATGTTACCTGTGAGAGTGGTATGTTACCTGTGAGAGTGGTATGTTACCTGTGAGAGTGGTATGTTACCTGTAAGAGTGGTATGTTACCTGTGAGAGTGGTATGTTACCTGTGAGAGTGGTATGTTACATGGGAGAGTGGTATGTTACATGTGAGAGTGGTATGTTACATGTGAGAGTGGTATGTTACCTGTGAGAGTGGTATGTTACATGTGAGAGAAATACAGACAGGGAAGCAGAAAGAGAATGAATAAATCAGTTACTCCACTCGGGACATTCCCACAGATGCTCCATCCCCTTCTTCAGTAGCTAGCGAAGAGTCAGCATGCTATTAGTACCAGTTGTAACCTGATTAAAAGTCTGCCTATGTTTTCTTGGAGCCGCGTTAGCGCATTCGATAGGAGACAGGCTTTCAAATCCAGCTGCGATTCGCTGCAGCCCACGGCCGGTGTTTAAAAAAGAGCCGTTTCCGGGGTTCACCCAGCCTCTAGGAAATGGGTACCAGAGTTAACATTCTGGGGTAAACGGAGTTGCGTGCGGACAGTTTCTTATCAGCTGTCCGCACTGGTGGCAGAGCACTTACAGTTTATAACCGTGTGCAATGATGCTGGTTCAGAGAGAGAGAGAGTAAAAAATGAAAATCACACCAATTCTTCTATATTCTCAAATCTCAACATTTCTTGATATTCTCAATCTTTTCATGGTTCTCTTGTATTCTGCAAAATCATGTCGCACTTCTTCTTCTTCTGCCTTTATTCTGCAATGGAGCATAGGCTGTCAACCAGCTCATGCCAAATCCTCCTACCCTTTGTTATTGCATGCAGCATATCCCATGCCTTCCCCATCTTTTTAACTTCATTGTCTGTGTTTCTATTAGAAGAGCCTTCCCCTGTCTTGGTTGGCTTGGTGTTACTTGTTTCTCTCTTAGACAGTTAGACAGTACCACCAGCGCTGGCTGCTGAAGATGAGGACGGAGCATGCATGGTAATGTTCCGAGTGCCGTGATGACTATTTTGGACTCAACTCAACTCAGCTCAGCTCTGTCTTAGACTTTTTCCGTGGTTGCTTTTTTTTTTGGGTTTGTTTGTTGTTGTAAAAAGACCTTTTTCAACACCTTCAGGTGTATTGGGCGTATTGTACTAGACCTATATTTTAAGGACCAATCAACGCTCGGTGTCAAAACCACTTCATTTATTGTTTTTTGATGACCTGTAAGACTGGCTTTATTCCTAGCATTCATCTGATTTTGTGATTTCATATTCTCTTTCCTTGAAACTCCTGCAGCTCTCCTAAGGCATTTCATCTAGCCATTACTTTCCCATAATGCTTTCCTGTCGCCTCAAGTTGAATGCCTTATTCTCTAAATACGCGATGAGTGCTTCTTTCTTTCATGACTGCTATATTTTCCCACAGGCCATCAGCTTAAACAACCGAGCGGTGTCCGAGTTTTTACTGAAGTGTGGGGCTCGAACAGATGTGGCTGATGCCTTTGGGCATACACCTCGGAGCATCGCCGTCAATCTTGGACACGAGGACTTGCTGGCCATCATTGACAAGACTGTGAACTCCACAGATGAGCTAGCTAGTGGATAGAGGTTTAGATGAACTATTGTTGCATGCTTACATCAGAATCGATGTACTGAGATTTAAAATATAACTAGAAATCCTTATGATCTATGGTTTCCTCTTGTCTGTTTCTGCTACTTCTGTATTCTTCTTTTTATTCATATATTCTTCCTCTGCTATCCATTTTCTTGCCTTCCTTATTTTCTCCCTCCTCCTCTTTTGACAATTCATTATTATTTTCTTTATTTTCTTCTTTCCATACTGCTCTTCATCTTCTTCTTCCTCTGTTATCTTATAACCCCCTTGATTATATGGATGTATTGTGAGGATGTGTTTGCAGTCAGGTTCCCTCTCCCACCCCCTCGCCCCCACCCCTTACGAGTCCTCATTATTCTTTTTTTTCCCTTCCTACCTTTCTTCCCACACTGCTGCTCCTCCTCCTCCTCATCTTCTTCTTGCTATGCTCTCTTATAACCTGTAAGTGATGTGTGATATATTCACAGTAATATTCACAGGGAAAGGGGAGTGATTCAAATTTTTTTTTCTAAAATGGAGCTCCAGAACCCACCTGAGGACAACACTGGTTTTAATCCGCTCTCGACAATCAGTGGTGATAATAATAAATAAATTAATAGTACTGATTATTTTGTTCACGTGTGTGTACATATTTATGTTGATTTTCACTTTTATTGTGCTTCAGTCGGGGGCTGAGGCGTTGCTTTGTATTCTTAGGTGCTGGATTCAAACTCAGCTGTGTACAGTTTGGCAGCCAGCGTTATCTTCGACAGTGGTATCGAGTGCTGACTTTTCAGGAAGCAGTATCAAACTACTGAACGTGAAATTACCTAATAAAATCACAAACAGCCAGAAAATCTTGGGGTTGGTTCTGCAACATCCTGTAAAGTCTGCCATATTTCCCCAAGTTTACGACACTTATTGTCCACAATTATTATGTCTAACAAAAATGTGTGTCTTATACAATGATAATATATGTTTACCAATCCCTTGTGGGTTCCGGGGCCCTATTAGAGGGAAAACATTAATAGACCCACTGCCTACCCAAAAGCATGTTGTAAGAGCCAACTAATTTGGGAGCTTCCTTCGAAGTCGGAGTGCATCTGCCTGAGAGGCAGGGAACCAACAGTATGCACACAAATGTTTCAGAACTGTCAAACAGATGCACACGCAAAACCCAGGTTTTGGAATAAGACTGCAGTCCAGAAGTGGACGAACAACCAAAACTTTCCACTAGAGTTTACAGCTGGTGAATGCAAAGAAGATATGTTTATCAAATAATTTGTTAGAAAGTATCTTGTACATGTTTCATTTGGGACTGCTGGTTCAGGGGCGACATAATATGGAGTGAAAAAAAAAATTATAAAATTAAAAGTGCTTTCCTGTTGTAATAATAGTTTTTGTGCTTGTCTTCACGCTCAGCTTTTTTGCACCTGTTACATTGTTATGTTTTGCCCATATGTGTCTGAGAAAAGATTTCCATACAGTGCTGAATTCAAGTGAAAAGTGATCCAGTTTACAAAAGTGACCGGTTGGAACCTTTACAAAAGTGACCATTTGGAACCTTTACAAAAGTGACGGTTTGGAACCTTTACAAAAGTGACTGTTTGGAACCTTTACAAAAGTGACCGGCGGGAACCTTTAGAAAAGTGACCAGTTGGAACCTTTACAAAAGTGACCGGTTGGAACATTTACAAAAGTGACCGGTTGGAACCTTTACAAAAGTGACCAGTTGGAACTTTACAAAAGTGACTGGTTGGAACCTTTACATAAGTGACCGTTTGGAACCTTTACAAAAGTGACCGGTTGGAACCTTTAAAAAGTTACCGGTTGGAACCTTTACAAAAGTGACCGGTTGGAACCTTTACAAAAGTGACCGGCGGGAACCTTTACAAAAATGACCGGTTGGAACCTTTAAAAAGTTACCGGTTGGAACCTTTACAAAAGTGACCGGTTGGAACCTTTACAAAAGTGACCGGTTGGAACCTTTACAAAAGTGACCGGCGGGAACCTTTAGAAAAGTGACCAGTTGAAACCTTTAGAAAAGTGGCCAGTTGGAACCTTTACAAAATTGACCGGTTGGAACCTTTACAAAAGTAACTGGTTGGAACTTACCGCTATCGAAACCAACTGCTGGCTGCTTGGATTTTTATTATGGTATGGGGCGTCGCAGGTCGACCCAGCCTAAAATGGGTACCAGGATATATGTCCTGGAGAAGTAAAGACAGCTGGCGTAATGCTGACCACATTACCCACCTAGTGCTGATTTGTCTAAAAATATGGGTGCTCTTCCCGTATGCCCGATGTGCCTAAAGGCCTGTAAAAGGATCTTAAGTTTACTTTTTTTTAAAGTAGTATGAAGAAACCAGCTATAGAAGAAGTCTATAGCTGGGTGAAAAGATCCTGGGATAAAGTGAAGAATGAGATTGTTGTCTAGTCGTTCGAGAAGTGTGTTGGGAAATGAACACGTGGACAGACTGGCTGGCTCTGCACAACTTGGTGGAATACTGATTGAGATTATTGTCTAGTCATTCAAGAAGTGTGGCATTTGAAATGTCACAGGTGCAACTGAGGAGAAGGCAGTAAATTATGACAGTGATTTGTCAGACACAGACGAGGACAAGCTAAAGAACCATCACATGGATGAGAGTTTTGGCTGTGTTGAGGAGTTGTCGGTTCTATGATGAATCAAATGTGAGTTCAGTAACTTTATAGACTCATATTTTTATGTTTGTCTCAAAATATCCGGTCCCAAAATCAAGATGCATCTTATACATATGCCTTATACTTGGTGAAATAAGGTACCTTTTTAAAAAATATTGCACCCCTATGTTTGTAATTTTTTTAAATTTTACGTCATTTTATGTGAAGGTCTCTGTTCCAGGGTACTAACAGGTATATTTATATTTGCCATGAACATAATTAATGTTATCACTCAACCGACTGTCACATTTAGAGGGCAGAGGTCATGGCTGCCAGTATTCTTGGGTATAAACGGCAACTTTTTCCCTCGCCTTCAGGTATATTTTCGATATACTTCTCGTCCTTTTTAGTATGAAATTGTTTGTTATTTGAAGCCCTACTCTGGCTTTTGCCAGGGGCCGTAATATAGCCTGGTCATAAATATGGCCTAAAGGCTGAACGCGGTTTCTGAGACCTCTCCACATGGTGGCACATTGTGTCATCGGGTGTTTATCGCTTGTGTGATGTCCTGGTGGTGTAGAAAGTCAGTCAGTCAGTCGGCTTTAGGTGTATCGGGCATACAGAGCTAGACCTATATTTTATAGACCAACAACACGCCATGGGTGATGTGGCCAACGTCACTCCGGCTGCCTTTACTTCCCAGGACTTTACCTGGTACCTATTTAGGACTGGGTCAACCTGGGAAGTCCAGTTTTGTCAGGACTTGAACCCATGACTTTAGGATCCGCACTCAAGAGTCTAGCCACTTCACTATGGCAACTCCTCTCTTGGGTATTGCCAGGGCTTTTTTCTATTTTAAAAAAAAACTGCTCCCAGTTGTCACTGGGGAGCCGTGTGGTGGGGCAGCTAGATGCTCACCTGGGGGCCCAAAGGTTGTAGATTCAAATCCGCATCCAGCAAGATCTTTTCAAAATTTACTTTAGCTGCAAGGTGGACCCCTAAAATGGCTAACAGCTTGGGAAGTAAAGGCGGCCGGCATGATGCTGACCTCATCACCTATCAAGTGCTGATTGGTCTATAAAATATTTTTCTAGCACTATACGCCCAATGTGCCTAGTGGTGTCAAAAAGGGTCCTTTTTTTTACTTAACTCAAAGTGTTTGTAAAAGAAGATGCAAGTAGTCATCAAACAATATCTATTGAAAGGTGACCACAGGGAAGAGAGAATATAGAGGCAGACCGACAAACAGTCCAGTCATCAAAGTGTCTGTTTCAGTAGTACTGAATAAATGATGCTTAAAAAAGGTGCTGGTACTGCTTAAAAAACCTGCCATTGCATCCCGTATTTAGCACTTTTGCAGGGGGAGAGTCTTTGAACTTGAAGATGTTGGGCTGCATGGCTAGTGCTGTTGCCATGAACTCTGCAGGTGAGGATTTTTGTTTGCCTCCGACAGAAAAAAAAAAGAATCTGCTGCTGCACACTGCTGGGAAAATCCCCAGATGTGACCCGTGTTTTAGATCTGCTGAAAGATTTTATGTTTTGTTGATGTGTTAACTTGTAGTACCTTGCTTTACCCAGTATTTTTGTGTGTGCATTCTGCTGACTTCTCGTGAGTTGTTTTCATTTTATTAAGCTGCAAAAATTGGACATATTGGCACTTTTGTATCCATGATTTGTTTCAGTATAAAGTCAGGAAGATGTATCACAGAGACAGAGAATAGAATAGAACAGGCCAAAACTGTGTTTTACAGCATTAAGAACATTTTGTGCAATAAATCCATGTCATTGAAAGCTAGGAAAAGAATTCTCGCATGTTATGTAGAGCCAGTTTTAATATACGGCTGTGAAACGTAGACAATTGATAAACAAGCCGAACTATATCTTCAGGCCTGGGAGATGTGGTCTTACAGAAGAGTCCTTAGAATTCCTTGAACAGCTAAGAACAGCAACCTAGATGTTTTGAAAGAGGTGAATGCTCAAAGACAACTTATCACAAACTTCAGAAAGAAACATTCATCACTTTTTGGTCATGTTGTGAGAAGAGGGAAAACTGAATATTTTGTGACCAGTGAAAAGATCTCTGGAAAGAGAGACAGAGGAAGACAGCGTGAAAAGATTCTTGACAGTCTTCTGTCATGGCAAGGAGGGGTGTCAGCACAAAAACTGATACACACAGTCGCAGATTGTGGAGAGGCATGATCGCCTACGCCAGCCAGCAAGGCACTTGATGATGATGACAGAGTCAGGGAAAATATCAGTGTTTTTTATGTATGCCAACCTTACCCAAATAGGACTGCAAGTTACTCCAAACTAATGTAGCTTTTACGGATGCCCAAGTTGTAACTTCTTTGGGTGTTGAACCGGATATC